GAGAGAAACACATATACACGTAATATGTGTTTGGCAGGTTTTTTTTTTTTTGTAACAAAATTAGAAAATAAACTCCATTCGCATAGGGAAGAGTTGACTCCCATGATAATGGGGGCATTTGAGGTCACTTCCGTTACTACGGGCCTGGAGGCAGTTTAGGTCGCTCGAGTTGTAGGAAAGATACCTTGGTTAGTAACATGGACCAAGAATTAGACGATGAAATTTAATGAATATATGTAACATTTTATACATATGTTACCTCCTTTAGAAAATAGAATCCACAACTCTGGATTTCACATTTTAAGGATGAAAATTAACAGAATGCAGTCAACACTTGGAAGATTTTGTTGGGTTCTGAGCATTAAGTGTGAGTGGGATATTTGTAAACCAGACCAGGGACTGATTAGGATGAGGAGGGAAAAAAACCCAAACATACTGATAAAGCAAACACTGAACTCATATGTCCTGACTATCAGGGAATGTAAACAGGAATTCAGATAATTTTGAGGTAACAGGGTTGCTTAGCCTATAGTAGTCTGGAGATCTATGGTAGCTGACTTTAAAATACTGTATTTGGAAGGCTGGCTGGTGGAAGAAACATAAGATTTATTCTCTGTATACTGAAAGTCAGAACTAGGACCAAATGAGTGCAGGTTGTCTGAACGTGGATTTCAGCTCTCATACGAGGAATTATTATTATTTTTTTAATTAGAGAATACTTGACCCAAACAGATGGGGTCCTTTGAGAGAGATGCCCTCTCAGAGATTTAAAAAAAAAAAAAAAAGGCAGTGTGGTGGTGAATAGATTTAGATGCGATGAACTAGAAACTTCTAAATCTAGAGATTTTTTGAATTATGGTCAGAGACATTTGCTCTATTGACAAATGGATGGTGAGATTTTAACATTTTAGATGTTAAGAGGTTTGGTAGAAAGCGTGATTTTGAATAGAAAGGGTTGTAACTGACTAAACATTAAAAAGAAACATCTAAACATAAGCAGCAAGCTGGGAGGACATAGCTCAAGTGGTAGAGTGCATGCTTAGCATACACAAGGTCCTGGGTTCAATCCCCAGTACCTCCTGTAAAATAAAATAAAATAAACCTAACTACCTCCCCTGCCAAAAAAAAAAAAAAAAAAAGCAACATAATTGTAACAAAATGAGAAAACTTTCAAGTCAAGTGTTTATAAACGTCATAGTTTTTTGATTATACAAGTTTATTCTGATTGTGGCAATTATGTAAAATTGACTTCTTCCCCCTTAGTTCTTTTACTGAAGCACTTTACGTATTTTAATGTATTCCTCATCTTGTTCTAACAACTATGTATATAATCTTATTTTAAATTAACATCAGAGTAGGTCTAACCATTCCCCTGCAGCTGGAAATTTGGAATGTTTTTATGTATCTTTTTTATTCATAGCGATCAGTGATAAGTAGCCCTGTACCAATTGTAATTTTTTTCTCCTTTGAATTATACCCTTGAATATATTCACTCAATAGTAATACCAGGTACAAAGAATATGATCATTTTGTACATTTGTTCCCAGTTGCCAATTTACCTTACTAACTTGTGTAAATTAACTGCTGAGTTTTTAACTCTCAAGAAGGAAAACAAAAAATCTCTTTACTCCCACCATAGTCCGATTTAACCTGAATTCTGAATTGTCTGTTGATTCTGATTGTGGCTGGTTTTATATTAGTTTCAATATTCTGTAAATAGAGTGTAGTTGAAACAGATTGGAAAGTGTATTTAATCAATAAAAATATATTTTAAAAAAAAAGTATATTTGATTTAGTAGCTAGATTTTCAAACTCCCCCCCCCAAAGATTCCTACTGTCAACAAATATTTAACTCCTATTAAAGGCATTAAGGAAACTCAATCTAAACTTTTTCCCTCTTGAATCAATAATATAGAGTAGCTTCCTCTTTAAAGCTGTTAAATATTTAATGTGAAGATTGCTTCTTAGAAATAATGACAACTTTGATAAATACCTTAATAGTACATATTTAACTTAAGTCCCATTGCAGCCTGTGTACAGTTCTCATTGTATTGCCTATTTGTTTAGGAAACATTAACATGTTTGTAATAACTACTTTATTAAAAAGGAGTCTGTTTTGTACTGGTCAGTGACAGTATAACAGTTGCAGATCTATTTTGGAGCATTATGGAAGAAAAGCTTCAGTGACCAATTTCCACTCTGAGTCTCCCTGTCTGGTTAGGTTGTAATAGCTAATGACATTTGGCTCTCTTGAATGAGCTACTTTTAGAATCCAGCTTAGAATTTTGTTGAAATAAAAACCTGAAAGATAACTTTTCAACATAATTGTTTAAAATGTCTGCTAGACAAAAATATTTTCATTTTCTATTTATGACAATTTGAGCAAAAAAAGTTACAGTTTACCTTGTTCTTGACTGTTTTTCCTTCCCTTTTTAGATCCAGTAGTTTTTTTTTTTAAACAACTGACTCTCTCATGATGACTCTGCATTCTTAGTAAACACCTGGAGATCCTTAATTACCATACAGTATTTATAGACAGCCATTACCTATCAAAACAACATATCTATCTTTGTTTAGGTCACATTTTTAAGAGTGAGGCTTTTAAGGTAAATTAGTGTTATTCTACCTTTTGAAAGTATAGTGTATTCAAATACTTTGACCTTTAAAAAGGCTTTCCCTGTCATATAAACTTTTTAAATATGGGAACAACCAAAAAAAACTCCCCATTCAAAAGTCAGAAAACAGTTTACTTCTAGATTTAAAAGCTAGCTCTGAAACTTTGAATATAGTAGTTCTTCCCCACTTGAACTAGTTAGCTTCTTTGAAACATAATGGTTTTACTCCTAAGACAAGGCAGTGAATCCTAAGACTATAATAATATTTTTCCCAGAGTAACACAGACATGTCAGAGCTAACATCTTCAAGGGCATTAGCTCCAGAAAGGGCCAATTTTGAACAAAGTGTTTAGAAGTTGAACAGAGCTGAAAACTATCCACAAAAAGACTTATACAAGCATGTTATTTAACAGCCTTATTTATAATAATCCCAAACTGGAAACAACCCAGGTACCTACCAATAGGAGAGTGGATAAACAAAGTATGGTATATTCATAGAGTGGAATACTGGTTAGTAATAAAAAGGAATGTATTACTGATCCACCGGATGAATCTCAAAAATGTTATACTGAGTGAAAGAATCTCTGATTATAAGAATCAGTGGTGGGGAGATAGGGTAGAAGAGGGCAGAATATTTTCTGAGGTGATGGAGATATTTTACATATTTTTATACATTTTCAGTGAAGGCTCCCAGGAGTATATTTGTCACAACTCAGCTAAATACCTAAGATCAAGTTCAAACTAGAGTTGCATTTATTAACATGTAAATAATAAAGGTTATTTCTGAAAGATTGAAGAATTTTATTTTAGAAAACTTTTATTTTTGAGAATTTGGGAAAATATTTACATAGTTACTATAAACTGTGGAAGTTTTTTCCCCCCTCTTGCTAGCTAGGCCAACTATTTTTAAAAGTCAGTGTAATTAAAGATTATACTAGCCTTTATGGAGAACAACTTTGGTGTCATTGAAACATCTCCATCCATGTAACTACTTTGCAATTTAGAATTCCTCAAGTCATCAAGGATTTACTGAGCACTTAGTATGGGCCAAGCAATGTTCTAGATACTGGGACACAGTTCTGTTTATGGTACTGAGTGGAAAAAAGATTTTTAAATTGATTGTTAATTTCATTTTATTGGCCGTTTAGTCCTGAATAGTCTGTATTAGGTTTTAAGTGGTAATAGTAAAGCCATTCATTGAAAATATTTTACTTTCATCCTTCTAAAGTTTAGAAATAAATTCATTTATATATTTTACCCATAAATGACACATAAGAAAATGTTATGAAAGTAACAGCAACCAAGTTGCCAGTATTATTTTTATGGTATCATTATATGCAACCTTTTGAATAGGAAACGAAATACAACAGAATGTTCCCAACCCTTGACTGATTAAAAGTTATTTTATTTTTTATACTTTTCTAAATTTTGTAAAATAAATGCAATTTCTGATAATCCTAAAAGAATTTTAAAATATACTGCACAAAATCCACATTATACCTAATAATTAGTAGGTAATAGATTTCCCTTCACAGTAGCTAATATATCTGCAGTAGCTCAACATATATCAGACAGGTTCATAGAAAATAGCCAATCTTAAAGTTCTTCTTTAAATTTCTTGTTTGGTTTTTCTGTATTTCTTATTTCTCTACCAAAAATCAGCCCTAATAAATATACATAAAATGATCTAATTGAGCTTTATAGGCTGTATTATTTTCCTTTATAAATCTTTTCTGTAGTTAAATTGAAGTTTGTCATCTTTTAAAAATAGGCTTTACTGAATAAGACTTGCATAAATTATTACTTTGTTGTAAGAAATAATAGTACTTTCATCACTGTATGACTACAGAGTAGTATTTTGCCAAGGAATTAAGTGTTAGAAGAACATTTTCTGAAGTAGATTTTTAAAACCATGTTAACACTATTTATTTCTTGAAATTTGTGAGTTAAGATAGGAAATGCTAAACTTAAGAATCTAAGTTAAGGTTTTCATCTTTACATTCTTATTCATTTACTTTTTGACTTTGAGTCACTTAACCTCTTCTTACTTTTTAAGTTTGTAAATTTTGTAATATACCAAGAAATACTTAATGTTATTCTACATTCAACAAACATTTATTGAATAACTAGTGTTTTGAGATATTATACTGGATGCTGGCTGGGGCCAGTAACAGTCTGAGATATTGATTGCCTGATCTAGAGATACGTGTAAATAAATAATTACAGTACAATATGGTGAGTGAGAAGGGGACTGACATTTATGCTCTACATTCATTCATTCATTATGTTACTCATTAAACATTTATGAGGTATCTGCTTTGTGCCAGAAGAGTAGTACACAGCTCCTTTTCATAACATGCAGGCTTATGGAAGAGTCAGCTTTATAAACAGGTAACAGTGGTATAATAAAAGAAACTGAGGGAAAGGGGCTTGGAAGTAAAGGAGGGAGTGATTAATTTTGCTTTGTGAAATCAAGGCAGACTTATGGAGGAGGCAGTGTTTGAACCTACTTTTAAAGGGTCCACATAAATGGGTCTGATAGACCACAGGTAGAAAGGCATGGCAGACGGAAGGAATTCCTTATGCAAAGAACACAGGAAACCTGCCACTAAGTAATAAGTAGCTTTGGCCAGCTTTAGGTACACGAGGAATGGGATGTTTGTGGGAATTGAAGCTGTCAAAGTAGCCTTGCTGTGTCATACTTTATAGAAACATTGGTCTTTACAGAAACAGTGGTCTATGGCAGCACCATCCAGAAACCTTTCTGTGATGAAGAAATGTTTTCTGTGCTGTCAAATAATGGTAACCACTAGCCACACCTGGCTCTTGAGCTGCTGAAATATGACTGTGTCTTAGAAACTGAATTTTGAATTTTACTTAATTTTAGTTTATTTAAATAGCCACACATATGCATTAATCAGGTTTTTTATTTTCTATATTTTATGATGTTTGGACATCTTGGGGTCTTTGCTGGCCAGGGAGAACCTGCCCCCTCCCAGGACTACCTAATTCGTAGAGATAATAAACTACTTTCCTGTGAGCATACCTTTCATATGCAAGCAACCAATCCAAAGCCTACACTCCAATTACCTCCTCTCCCTAACTCTCTTACCATGCCAGTTTTTCCCCTGCCCTAAGTCACCCCAGGGCCAGATCTGAGACAACTAGGTACCAGCCCTACAGCCCAGAGCCCACTGAAATTATTCAACCTAGTCAATCCTAAACAGTTTACTCTGCCCTACCTTGCCTTTTCCATAGAAACCACAATAAATGCTTGTGCCCTTTCCTCTCACCTTCCTTCTGACAAATCCTTGTACTTCCGTTGTGGTCCTGTGTGTCATGGTGTGTGCCCTCCTCTTGGGAATTATAAGTAAACTTTCCTTTCAAGGCAGTTGTCTCCATGTCTGTCATCTTACCATACCTGATTAAAATAAAATCAAAACTGTGGCTAGTGGCTACTATATTGGACAGCACAGAACTCTAGAGAGACCCCTCCCCACCAAGAAAAAGTTTTGTCATTTCCAGAACTTTAATTCATTCAAAGGATTTATGTGGAGTGTCTCCACTTCGTTTATGAGAATAGAACAGCCAGCCTGACTGACATCTTATCCTTACAGAGTTTCATTTGGTGACTAAAAGATTGTCCCCAAAGATTTCTGCCATATAGCATTGTCAGGTTGAATTGGCAAAATATTTTTTTTCAGAGAAGTTGCTACCAATCTTTGTAATTTCTTAATCAAAGCTACCATTTATCATATATCGTCTCTGTGCCAGGCACTCTTATAAGAGCTATACATACGTAAATAGGTTGTTTTGTCTAGAACTCATAACAAACCTTTGGCGTGGTGTTGTAGTGAAAAGTTTCATTTTGGAAGAGTTAGTGTTAAGCTAGTCTTTCTTTCAATAGTTAACTAGGAAGAACAGTTATCTCTAGAGAGTAGTTTTACCAACAGAAGAACAGATAAAATTTTAGATCTGTTGAATTTGATTGATGGTGATTAAAAACAGACTTTGGACTTAACTGTCCTGGACTAAACCTGCTTAAGCTCCAGTTTACCCACATGAAAAGTGGGAATATTAATGCTGCCTAACAAATGCAGTTGTTTAAGCCAACACAGTATTAAATGAGGTAATACAGTGACATTCTTAGCTTGGTCTGTTCATTTGTCATTAACATTTATTAGCATGCCTTAGCACATGACCTTCAAGTTTTCTCTTTCTCCACTAAGCTATTTCTATATAGTGCTTATTAGCAAGTTACCAAGTTAGCACTTACTGAAGGACATCAAATGGTAACTCTTTAAGGACTGAAAGGATTCCCTCCGGAGCCTAGCAGAGGCCGGGCACTAACTAGCATTTGGTAAGTGCATACTGAAATACTTATCTTGGCTTCCTGGTGTTTCATTTATATTACTTACATTCCCTATCCCTCTAAGACAGTGTTGAGTACTACAGAAAGCTTTAATGAACTCTTATGGAATAAAACATGTATCGAATAGAACGTATGTGAAAATTTCAGTTAGCTCTTTAAAATAGTAGTTTTACACAACATGTAGGTGTTTCTTCAGAAATTACTGTGCCTTAAAAAAAAAACTATACCTTACCAAAATGTAAATTAAAGCATTGAAGACATGTTCTGTCATAAATTATAAACCAGTGGTAAACCATGGATATTCGATTGTGTGATTTTAGACATGGTGGAAATGTTTTTTAAACCTATAAAATATATCACACATTGAATTTTGTTTATAATTATGGTGAGCGTAATTCCTGAATTAAAGATAAACACAAATATATTTAGTGAGGATAATTAGCATATTTGATAGAAGACCTATTTCTGAAAATTATGTTTTTTAGTTTCAAAAGTCTCAAGTTAGCCCACAAATAAAACAAGGTGGTCCTGGGTATAGGTGTCTTGATCGTTAATTATTCACAGTTCTACAGATAAATAGTTAAGACCTTAAGATGAGAAATAAAGAATAAATAAAGAATAAGCTCAAGGATGAGACATGCTATTTGAGTTCTGTTACAGGAGCACACTGATTCTAACAAATCTGTGCATGTTTAGTTTCAGAATGGCTTCGGTTATTGCCTTTCCTTGGTGTGCTTGCACTACTTGGCTACCTTGCAGTTCGTCCGTTCCTCCCGAAGAAAAAGCAACAGAAGGATAGCTTGATTAATCTTAAAATACAAAAGGAAAATCCCAAAGTGGTGAATGAAATAAACATTGAAGATTTGTGTCTTACTAAAGCAGCTTATTGTAGGTGTTGGCGTTCGAAGACGGTAAGGTGTCTATTTACACATATGCTGAAATTTTGTGCAGTTAGGCTTGTCTTGCTTCTTAAATCCTCAGTTTTATGATTCCGTGAGATGAGAGATTTTTCCATAGAATTCATCACTGAAAAGTCTATATTCTTAAAGTTCACCTCTTATAATCAATGAACTTCCTACATTAGGAAAGTTACAGCAGCATGGAAGGATAGAAATCTATTTTCACTGTGTTCAGCAGTTAGCTAGAGTAACATGTAGTTTAAAACACTTATGTTTTGAGAGAACATAAGGCTTAGTGGAAAAGAGCTTAAGCTTTGGAGTTAGAATAAACTGTTCAAATCTGATGTCAGCCACTTAACAGTATATGACTTAGTCTTTAATCTCTGATCATCAGGGGTTTTTTAAGATCTGATAATAAATCAATACCATGTTTCTGAGGATTTAGTGAGATGATATGTGCACAGCGCCTTATATGTAGTATGAGCTAGTGAATGACCGGTATAATTATGGATGATTTTTATTGTGGAAGTTAAAAAGAAGAATTTGGAGTGATGGGTATTATAAGTCATTGATGAGATCTGTTTTCTTCTACTTTGAGCATTGCCTGTTTGAGGTTTTAAGTACAATTATGTTCATCACAGCATCCTTTGTAATAAGATTTTAGAAACAATCTAGATATCTGATAATAGGGGAATGATTAAAGTGTGGTATAATACAAATGATGGGATATAAGGAAGCTATGAAAAATCATGTTTTTTAAAGAATATATAATAACATGGGAGCATGATGTAATATAAATAAGAAGCATATTACAGTTTGATCCCAATTTTGCTTAAAAAAAGAATACACAAAGTACAGAAGGAAAGATATACCAAAATGTTAATATTATTGTTACCTATGAGTAAGTTTTTAAAAATATATTTAAATTTTTAAAGAAATGTTAGAGTATGCATGAGTTTTATAGTAAGAAAACATTATGAAATAATTTATTTTGAATTTAAATTACATTCTTTTTAAATTTAAAACAAGTGAAGCGATGAGCTCAAATTTACAGCTCTATAGAGAGTAACAGCTTATTTTGACTCCATTTGAAGACTATTATATTGACTTAGATGGAATCATCCAGAGCTTTTTATTAAAAATCTACCAAGTGACAAATTAACTAAACTTGTTAGATTTGCTGTAGTATTGGAATGTAGTTAGGTTAGATGTGGAGTACATCTGTTACTCAGGAAAGCTATCTGATGTGTTTTTTCCCCTTAAAGTTAATGGAATTTCTTTGTAAGAGCATTACACAAATATTTCTACTTATTGAATCATTTTAAAAATAACAGTTGTAATTTTTTTTTCCTTTCTAGTTTCCTGCCTGTGATGGTTCACACAATAAACACAATGAATTGACAGGAGATAATGTGGGCCCACTAATACTGAAGAAGAAAGAAGTATAATAGTAGTGAAGTAGGGTGGAATTGAGTTGTGTGCTGTAAAATCTTATGACAATATTTTTTCATTCTTTGTGTGTAGAAGATCTTTCAAATGGTGGTTTTTATTATTGCTACTGGTTGAATAATTATTTCTGCCAATTTATTTTCTTGCTACACTACTCTGTATTTGATACTTTGTATATTCATTTATATAGAAAGCAAATTGAACAACTCTTTCATTCTAACTTCAAAGAATATATCTTCCTATAATAAAACTAACACTTTTGATTTTCATTAACTGAGAAAAATCTAAGTTTTTGCAATGAGTCCAAAGCTGTTTCTTTGAACATCAATATTTTCAACAGACTCTATATTTTAGTATTTTCTCCCTACACTATTAAATATATTATTTTTTAGTGCTCTTCTGTTTTGGTCATTTGAAGTGATTTTTTTTTCCCCTTTTGGGAATTCCATATTCCATTCTTTTTAGATCAATAAGAAAAATCTTGCTGTCAAGAATTGCTTGAGTTTTCAAAGAGAAACTCTTTACTTTATAAATATTGTTGCCTATAAATATGAATATCCAAATTTCAGAAAAGATGGGGAACTGGGTATAAAAAGTTCCAACAAGGAACAATTATTTACTTTATAAAAGATTTGTTTACTTCATAAAAGGTTTATTTGTGTCTGTTTATGTGTGTTGTGTATATGTATCTTGAGCCATCTGACTCAGTGACAATGTGGGGCGGGGTGGCAAGAACACTTATGGCTAAACAAACTCATGAGCTGCTACAGTTTGAAGGTCAATTAGGAATAAAGTATATCCGAATTTACATTAAAATGATAATAGTTCAGTGTTCAAAGCTGTTTCAATATGAACGTTTTAATCATCTTTATTACAAAAGGTTTGAAAAATAAAATTACTGGAGAATCTTTAGAACTTTTGTAATTTTTAGCCCAAGAGTCTGTTTAGTTTTCATCTTATATTACAATTCTTATAGTAATAGCTGTCATTCAGTCTATTAAAGGTACATTGCAGTCAGTTCCCTCTGCCTTCCGGAGGTTCGGGAGACAGACATATTTAATTCTTCTTCTAATAATCATCAAAGCTAAGTACCAGACACCACACTAAGCATGGTACCTGGGTTTTTAGTTTATTACATGTAATGTCATTAGCTTCAATTATGTGATCTTGATTTTCTCTTGAACAATAGTAGGAATTTTAATTTTAGGGTTAGAAATGTAGGTGTGGTTTTGAGAAGTTTTACAAGGTATATGTCTAAAATTGTTACTGCTCTCTTCTCTCCTCACCTGTGAGTAGGGAGAAATATAATACTGCTCTCACTTTGGCTCTGGGTATTTTTTTCCCTAAGACTTTTTCTTCAACACCCTTAGGGACTTCACTGTCAGATTAACCAATTACTTTTCCACAGGTAATCACAAGGCTCTGGGGAAAAACCCTTCTCACCAAAAGTTTGAATATCCTGGTCTGTGGTCATAAAATACTTTTCTTTAAAAGCATTTCACTGCAAATCACAGCAACATGGTTTTATACATGTTCTAGTGGTTCCTATTCTTACATTTTACAGGAGAAGGTAAAATTTCCCCCAAATGTGGAAACTAAAGTGAAATTTTCAATGTTAAAATTTGTTAAGAACATTTACAAAATTGAAAACTATCTCATAAAAGGTAATTTTAACACCTCAAAAGTAAGAAGATTATACTCTCAGAATAAAGTTTTTTCTCCCCACATTTTCAGTTGTTAAAATTTGTTAAAGCGTTGTGCCCAAATATTTTCCCATGTGTGCAAATTTTTCAGCAGCCTTGGGCTGTAGCAAGCTGTTATTTTAATAACCCCTTTACATAAGCATTATTACTAGTTGCTGTTACTTCCTCTTATAAATTCACAGAATTCTATCATGTCTGCCGTAAAAAATGACATCTAATAGAAATCTAGCTGCATCTGAACTGATACAACAGAAAATAACTTGGCTCTTGAAATATGTATCTTGGATTTCTAGAACCTTCAAGAAACAGCTCTATTGTTACTGTCACATGGTGGTTTTGAAGACTGCGTCTCCCTAACCAGGGCACTTACTCATTGCTTGACTCAGCAGTTGAGCACAATCATTACATAAATAGGTATCCAAAACTGTTGAGCAGTCTTGAAATATTAGTGATTCATTCATAAGGGTTATTAAGCAAGTTGTATTTTGAAAAGCATGTTATAGTTCAGCTTTGAGTTCAGTGTCTCATATGATGACTCATTAAATTGCTTTTGTATTTTGTAACCTAATTTGTTAATGAGTTTATGGGAAGCTAATTAAGCCAGCTGCTGATGTATATAGTTCCACCTTTCGTACTGTGATCCTACACTCTTCATTAGAAACGTGCTGTTAGACTCTTCCTCTGCGAAGAGTTTTAAAGTTTTTAATGAGTTCTTAAATTAAGGTGAATATTTTATTTACTACTTAGCAGAAACATCTAGCTGCACTTTACCTGTTTAGAATTCAGTTGTGGCAGCATCACCAACCTGGAGAAGGCCAGGGGAGTTGTCATTAATACTCGACTTTATTTAGAAGTGAGCGCAGTCAGATCCCCAACTTCAGTGTCTACTTACTCTTCACACCTAATTCTAACAAGTTTGGTTATCTGATTTCTGTTTCTGAACAAATGATAAGTATCGACATCGACAGGGTCCTGCTAGAGATAGGTAAACAATAAAGTGTGACAGCTGACAGCAGGGGAGGGAATCAGAAAATTAATATGAACGCTAAAAGCCTAGCCGCTTGAGACCCTTTAATACAGGATCCTACACACTACAGTCCCTGAGAGCATCACTGTGATCAAGTTATAAATGATGTTGAATGAATTTGAATCAAGATAAGTAGTACATGGTATTTAAGGAGGTAGGATATTATGTTGCACTTGGTGATACCAATTTCCACGTTATTGTTAAAAGCTTAATGTTTACAGTGTATATCCAGGTGGAAAGTTTATGCATAAAACACTATGACTCATTCCTTGATATTTGGAGGCTTATCATAGGAAGTTTTTCATTCAGTGGAAATATTTTTCAAGTTTAATGACAGTAATTCACTGCATAATTTAATTTGTTAAAATAGGAGGAAGCTAAATAAAGGAACCGTGATTTAAACCACAAAAAGCCAGTCAGATGGCCTCTTCTACCTTAGGGAGGGTTACAAGTCATGTTTAAAAACCATTCAGCTGCAGTTCTGTGACTGCCTCACTGCCTTGCTGGCCATGCAGTCCCCTGGCACCAGAGGTGGGCTTGGAGGAGACTCTCTGAGCTGTCCTGTTTTAGCTGTGCTGCTGCATCTGAGGTTATGCTTCAGTTTG